AAACTTATTTTATTCCTGTAATCAATCCAAAGATATAAATTCATGCCAAGCTTAAAATCTTGTTTTCACTTTGGCATCGACTTGGTTGTACTGGTTTTATTCAATTTCAATCTGGCTGATGCTTTTCTAGTTAAAAAAATTAATTAATAATAATTTCTGCCGATCGGTATATTCGCGTTCATATATATAGCCTCCTTTTATTGGAATATTGTTATTATTATTATTATTATTATTATTATTATTTTCTCATAAAATTTTTCCCTCTTTCCTTTAATTTTGAAATGTTCTCGGGATTATTTTATTATTATTTTGTTGTCATTTTCTTTATTTTTTATTTTATTAATAATAATTTTATGTACTTGCTTATTTCTTTAGTCGAAAGGCTTTTCCCTTGGAAATTCGCCAAGTTTTTTTTATATTGTTTGTTTATTGTTATATTGTTATATTGTTCACATTTTTCATCGTTTTTTTTATAAAAAATTTTTTTATAGTTCTTTCGATCCTGCTTTTCTCTTGTCAGTTCTCTTTTCTCTCAGTAAGAGTAGAACTGTGGACCGATACCCTTTTGAATTCCTTTTAATCCCCACTTCTCTGATCTTTTTGATCACCGGATTTGATTTGATCCCCGGCTAACATTAATTTTTATGAATTTTTAAATTTTCCCTTTCTTGTTCTAAATTTTGTTCGACTATCGTTTTCTTTCTTTTTACTGGTTTCTTGGCAATTCTTCCGGTTTATCGAAAAGAATTGTCATTGTTAGCTGGCAGGTGGCCACCTTTTGGTAAGTTTTTATAATATTTTCATAATCCCGAGAACACAAATTATAATTTTTAATAATAAAATAAATTTTGAAATATATATGTAATATTTGTATTTATTGATTTGTATTTATTGATTTGTATTTTATTGATTTGTATTTTATTGATTTGTATTTTATTGATTTGTATTTATTGATATTTATAAAAATAAAAATCCAAATATTATAATTATTGCTATTATTGTTATTACATATGTAAACTCGATAAGTCGGTCACTCGATAAGTCGGTTTACTCGATAAGTCGGCCGTATGAGCTCACCCCCACATGACCGACTTATCGAGTTTACATATGTATAACCATTATTATTGGTCGCGAGCAAAATAAATTGCAATAAAATAAATTTGAATGATCGATTCGTGCTCTAGGAAAAACGGGATTTCGAGTAATATATTAAAAATTTTTTTAGAAATCGATTTGGAGCTAAATTATTATACTTCCTGTTTTTTCTGCAAAAGTGCAAAACTCTGATCAACAATGTTCAGTGTTAAGCTTTGGTGACGGATCAAAAATTATATGAATTAATAAGCGTCATATGTCATTTTAGCTTTAGCATCGTTGTTCCCTTCCTTCATTTTGTTACCATTAAAAGGTGAGAGACGAAAAACACCAAAAGTACATCACAATGCTTGTTTCACACGACAAACATAGTATTACTAGTATTACTAATTGTTACATAGAGAGAAAATGCTAATAAAACAAAAATTAAAATAGTATTAATATAAAACAATTGTTGCATCTCTAACTACTAAATGTAATTTTTTTAACCTTAAGAGAATCTAATAATTCGTTAGCACTATTCTTCCCGATAATCTTGCGGTGAAGGTGTTCCTTTAGTTAATCATCAGTTAGCTAACAATGATCGATAAAGACATCTGCATCAACTTTGTCCTACCAATTATACATGTAATTATTTTCGTCTTTAAAAGAGAAACTTACAGTAAAACCGTCTCTATTTTTCTTTTTATTAATTGACACTTTTTACACATGCTAATTTATATCTATAAACAAAATTTATATAGTCAAAAGGCGTACCATGGTATCGACTCTTGTTAAGGTAGTTAATTGGCCGAATTAAGGAATTCAAGTTCGTTATAAGGTTTCCAGTCGAAACCACCTCTCTTAGTAGCCGAAATTACCAAAAAACCTTGCGCAAAAATTAATTTTTTATAGGCCCAAACTATTTTTATTAATAGCCTAAATGGTGTGAAATTATTTAAATCAAAATAGGTTGATTTGTATGGTTTTTCCATGTTGATTCTTATAAAAAAATATTGAGAAGCCCAAACTATTGTCAACACTACTTTTTTCGAAAATAGTTTGGACCGGAAACCTTAGTTCGTCACTCTATTAGAGAAATGTATGTGTGATTCTCTTATATTCATATTTGATACTAGAAGGAAATTAAAAAAATCATCATTTTTTATGATTAGAGATTGAAATGTGATATCAATTAGTTTAAATCAGAGTTACTTATTCTATCATCATTACTTATTTAAACAGAATAATTATAAATAGACAGACCATTATTATTATTTACGATGTTGAAGTGTAGTGAATGCACAAGAACCTTTTCAAGACGCTCAACACTTGTAACCATGCAACAACGTAGCAATTAATATGAATGAGGAAGAAATTGATGATTATTATACGGATTAAGGTGTTTGTTCGGCAAGCAGAGTTTCTATTCGTAATACAGCTCAATTTTAATATTAATTCGTTTTATTCGAATAAACATTCAATGTAATTCGAATCATAACGAATAAAACACGATTTCCATTACAAAATGAAAATCAATTTTTTAAATATGGTTTGTCCTTTAATAGATTTATTTTGGTCGAATCTCGAATTAATTCATGTTATAATAAATATAATGAATATTATGTAAATTATGTTTTAGAATACTTTATTTATTATTGTTATTCATCAGGCATTGATTTATATCATTAATAAATGAGTTAAAAAGTGTAAATCAACATTATTTATCAACATAATTACGTATATATCATTGATATGGTGTATTATTAGCATAGATCAACAACACTTTCAAAATTTCCTGATGTTAGCAATGGCGATTCATTTACTTCGATAGTAGAGAAGAGAACATTGAGTCTATATGGTGCTCTTTCACAACTTTCATAATCATACAACAAGTAAATTGACTATGTAAAATAGTATTTTAAGATTTTAAAATTTTAATTCTAATTGATTTATTTTTTTAATTAAAAAAAATTTGCTAAAAACCTTTATTATATATAATAATAAATATACGTTGTATAATATATATGCATTATTTGAACAAAATCAACGATACTACAAAAAAAAAAAAACAAAAATCAATATAATTAATAAAAAAAAAATAAATAAATAAATAATATACCCCGAAATACCTTGATAAAACCAATATCTTTGGAATATTCACGGAAACATTGACGACATATGTTTAAATTGTATTTACGAATTAAACCAGCACGATGGCTACACACACGACTACATTCATTAATTCATATAAATTTTAATGAAGAACTAATATTTGTATAAATAAAAATTATTACTAATTGTTACCATTCACGTGAGCCTTTTCCATAACGACGAGGACGAGAAAACCATACTTGATCATGAGCCATTTTCTTTTACTTATTGTTATTGTTGTTGGTTATGGTTGAATGTTATTTTCAAAGGTGATAAAATAAAAATTTTTAGAGAAAAAATTTTTTTATTGATTCTCACATGACTTTATAGATTTTTAAATTATGTACCTCGGTTACACTATCCACCTTTTTTAGTATAAGATAGTTACATTTCTATCCAATCAAAATAAAGAGCGGACTGGTTGTTTTGACTGTTCGTTTGATATATAGGAAAATTTTATTTTTGATTATAATTACTAAATTCCTTTTGAAGAAAATAAATAAATTCGTTGATTAATCTTTGTAAAGGGGGGTTTTTTTTTTAATTAAGAAAAAAAGGCTTAGTTTATCTTTTTTTAACAATCGAAATTTGGTAAAAAACTTTTGATGTTTGCATGAAGTTTATTCTTTTATAGCAATAGACTTGAAGGAAAAAAAAATCCAATTGATCCCAATTGGTCTTTAAATAAATAAACACGAGGAAAAGATCAGGATAAAAAGATTTTTAACAATCGAAATTCGTAAATAACTATTGATTCACATGAGGTTTCTTCTTTGCAAAGGATCTTTTATTCAATTTATTAAATTCGCGAATAATTTCCCTTTGTATTTGTAGTTTTTTTTTAAATGAATAAATTTTTTGCTCAAAGCAACGAATGAAATAAAAACATTGATATAATAATAATGTGACTGACTAATTTGATGCTCCAAATGAATATATAGATACCTCACATTTGAATGTAACGCGTAAAGCCAAATCATACATAGAACGCCATTTTGGCATCACGTGCCTCATCCCTCGAATTCGAATGCAACGTAAAAAGCAAACCCAATACACCGTTTTTTTGCAATTTTTTGGTCCACGAAATGGGGATAACGGGTCTATTTATGCGTTTTTGTTTGTAATTTATTATACTACTCGATCAATGCACCAACTGGCCATGAAATAGTCTATTTTTATTAAAGTTTGCATTACACGATAGTATTTGTACCCGGTGCTAATTTTGATGCTCCGAACGAATATATATATGTATGTGATTGAGTCTTGTGATTTCATGATGTTATGACACCAAAGAATATTATTACTAATCTGTATTTCGCGAAACTCACTGTTACGTTTTCGTTTAAAGGTTGCTAATTAAATTAGATGAACAATAAGAAGTATTATTAATAATAGTATTGTTTGCCTATTCCTATCAACAGAATAGTTTGATGTTGATTATGTTATGCTACAATTGATACTTGCACAATTAATATTTTGGTGTTAAATAAATCAAAGATTCTAATTGTATTATTACTCGGAAACTCTTATGTCTATTCATTATCACACCATCTTTCAATATGGTAAAAGTTAATATAATAACACTAAAACCAATATAAGTAATTATGATTATAATAATTTATTATTTAATTGCTCAATCGGTAGTAAGTCAATCTGGTGTAGCCGAATAATAATATTTTTAATTTTGTGTTATTATTTAACGCTTTATTTTATTTTAAATTTTATATTCAAACATCTACCTGTTCAAAGATATTTTTCTTTAAGAAAGTATACTTGGTATATTTTTTTTTTTTCCAAGAGAAAAAACGCGTTTGCAAACAATTGATTATAAGGCATAGACAAATAAATGGATAAAGGCAAGTTTGTTGAAGAAATAAAATTTAGTGGATAAAAATAAGTTTGTTGATTAAAATAAATTTAGGGGTGAGGACAAGTTTGTGTAAGAAAGCAGGTTTGTGATGATAATTTTTTTTCTCGGGGAAAAATGTAAAAAAGGTAATTTTTTTGTGAATATCATTTTCCATATGATTCACCGATAATCAAATCGAAAAAGACAAAGGACAAAAATAACTAACAGATAATTTAAATTAATTTAACAAATTAAAAAAAAACCTAAAAATGTATTTTTTAACTGGCTGATGATTATTGCTCTTGAAAAAATTTCACCTCTCCTAATATAAATAATAATAATAATAAAAATATCAAAGAGTGAGCAATAAAGTTTTCTCTATAATGAATGTGAATCATAATTATGTTATTATTATTATTAAAAATATTTGGAAAGTGAAATTGTTCTTTACGTTGATTTTCATCAGTTCTTCAATTTTTGATATAATAATTAATCCGACTTTTGCATATGAGACTGCAATAAATCATGTTGAATCAAGCAACAATGGCCTCAAAGTAGTTGATGGGATTAATTATCAGGATGGAACAATTTTATTAAGATTGTTGAATCCTTTAAATTACTGTAATGAGAATACAATCTATTTACGATTAGTCCATACAAATGAAACTGTTAGAACTTTAAATTTAAATAATTTGAACATTCCATGGGAAAATTTTTGCTACAAACTTGCATTGGTTGCTAATAGTAAACAAAGTAGTGGTGGTAGCAGTAGTGGTGATAGCATTACAATAAATGCTATAGCTTATCAATACATATTAATAAATTATTTTTGTAATCGTTCCATTTCTAATAAAGTTTGTGGTGATGTCGTTACTTGGACTGGTGAATTAGTAAGGTAAACAAACGATTTGTATGTAAACTTTACTATTTTATTGATTTCACATCTAACCAGATTCTAAATCTATAAATGTAATAATTAGTAATATTGAATTTGAGAATGTATGTGATGACAGTATAATTATTCAAAGCCATAAAAAAGATGATGGATTTTTGCGTGTGTGTTATGTTAAAGATACAAAAGAAATCATTTGGACAAAATACAGTGTACCGTAAGCAATCTAATTCCTATTTTAAATTTCAAAAATTTTTTTCTTCCCTATTTCAAATTACCTTTCCCCTAATTATTTTCGTATTATATAGAAATATTTCTACTGGTACAATATTAGAAACTTCTACTGGAAAATTAACAGATATAACCAACTTTAACCCAAACATTACAAAGTTCTTTTCAAGAGAAGATGGAAGTTATGCCATGGTAACTTGTACAACTGACACAAAAACAACTACTGATAGTAATCAATTTACTGGAGATTGGACAATTGCTGTAACATTTTTATCGGTTGATGATAGTTTGCAACTAACAGGCCCTTTTGAATTATATAAAAGTAAAACAAGTGGTAGTGGTTTGATTGATATTGTTAATATTCATAGGTGTGATCTCGCCTATTACTTTTCAGGATACAGTTGTCTGATTACAATTGTTAGATCAACAAACATATCATTTATAGATATTGATTTCACATCTTCTGGTAACTTGTATTCGGTAACACCAGAATTTTCAATTGCTCAAATTTCAAATACAACAACAACAATATGGGATGTTCAAACATTGTATTATGGTGGATATGTTATTTTAGTAGAGACTGTTCCGACTGGTAATCTTGAAGGACACATTTGTAGTAATAATGGCACCTATTTTGGAAATTGGAGCTTCTCAAGCCAATATCAATACACTAATAAAATTGTAGGGGTTCTGCCTGATAATACACTATGGACAATACCTAAACAACCAACTGACGATTATTCTTGGACATGTTTATTGACCGATGCTTTAACCAATTATAGTACAGTTCAAGGTAATAATGGTAGTTTCAATATTATTAGTGGGTTTCCTGGTGGTCCTGGAGGTTATGGATCTGATAGTATATTGTCAACAGTTCCAGAAAAAAATTCAAGCATAATTTCTGCAAATACTGATTCAATCACAATAACTTATACTAAATCAGTTAAAAAATCATCAGGAAATATTAATATTTACCAATTACGTTCTAGCACAAACATTGATATTAATAACAATGATGATTACTATGATGAGCGTGAAGATTTATTGCGTCAATCATGCTCTGGTCAATCTGATTATGTTCAAATCGAAGGTAACACTGTTCAAGTCAAAGTTTTAAAAAGTACCTTTAATAGCCCCGGAAGTGAATATTATGTGACTATTGAAGATGATTTTGTTAAAGATTCTATAACTAATCAAAATCTTTTTGGCATAAAGCCAAAAATATGGGATTTTAATACAGGTTTTTAAAATTTTTTTTATAGAGAAATTGTTTTATTGATCCATGTATAATTTAATTTATATAATACGCTTCTAATATGTATATATATATAGTTATAGTCAGGAATGAGTTGTATGTTAATTATGATTCAAGTTCCGTTAGTTGTATAATTCAATTAACACCAGAGGGTACAACATATTACACATCATTATCAATAAATGATCAATTGGATTTTGTTGGCAAATTGTCAAATGAATTATCCAATTCACTTCCATGTGATGTAGCACGTATAAAAATATCAACAAAATATCAATATAGTCATAACAACCATGATAGTATCAATGATAATCTTAGTAAGATCATATTCAAAAATTATGAAATGAATATCACAACTAATTCAACTGATCAGATATTTATGAGAATTGATATTGAGGGGACATCATCAATAACAGAATTGAGTGCAATACAATTAGCAAGTGATTTGAATGAATTGATAATAAATAAAAATGCTACGTTATTATCTAAAGGATTATATACTAATTTGATTGATTCTGGTTACGGGGCTGAACAACTAGACAGTTCCAAGGAGAATTTTAGATGGATTTTCATGATAATATTTATTGGATTATTGTTGATAGTGTTGATTATTTTATGTATATTAATAGGAACTCGTAGATATAAATCGGTAATTATATTATGCATCAAATTGATTTATACTTGACAATTAGGTATAATAAGTATATATTTTTCACAAGTATTAACTAATTATTTTTTATAATATTAGGCACAAAGCTTTTTGGCAACTACTATGTTCATATTTATCACAACAGATTTTTGTTTGGATATTGTCTTTGTATCTATACATGGAAAAGATTTCAAATGGTTATATCTTTCAAGGTAACATTATTAATATTTTTGATATTTTAAATAATATTTGGTGTTGGTAATAACAATATATTTCTCCGTCATCAATTTTCATCATTACTTTCCACTTAATTACCCCATTTATCCCACAGTATTACATTTATAATATTACCAATTGTGTTCAACATGTTGTTTACATTTTTGATAATTGCTTGTAAATCATCAACCTCATCATTGCTGATGAAAATATTTTATTTTATTTTATCATCAATTGATTTGGATTTACCATTTATATTGGCACCACATTATTCATCATATAAAAAGAGCAATTCAGAAGTGTCACAAGTTTCCGATACCTCAACAACTTCTTCATATTCTTCTTCCTCTTCCTCTTCCTCTTCTTCTTCTTCTACAAAAGAAAAATTATTAATATCCTTTAATAGTGATGATAAATTGATATTTATTGGTAGAGTGTTTAGCTTGATGGTTGAAGATAGTGTTCATTTAATTATTTTGGTAAGCATATATTTATTATTCACTTATATTTATAAAAATTTAATTGCAATTTTAAATTTTAAATACTTGATTTTTTATTTATTAATTTCTCCATATTACAATTATAGATATTGTATCAAGAACTTTCGATAACTCCAGCTATAATACCAATGTTATCTTTTAGTGCATCCACAACTGTATTGACACTCAAGTTAATTCTTATTATTCTTGGATTATATTTGCATTTACTTTATAAAAATAAGCGAGCGAGAAAAGGCTCTAAAAGAAGAAGAAGAAGAAAACAAACAGATAGTTTTGGCAGTATTATTGGTGGTGATAGTAGTGGGCGTGATGAATATGATGATAGGAAATTAATTATCGATAACAAAAAAAGTGGCAGTAGTAGAAGAAAGAAAAGTTCTAGTATTAGTAGAAAGGGTAGCACTGATGATACTTATAGCAGTTCTGAGAAAAAGAGGAGGAGGAGTAGCAAAAGTAATAAGGATAAAGAAATAACATCAATGTTTGATGAAGATTATAAAAAATCAAGATCCATTAATAAAGAAAAGAACGTTGCCCCTGATAGTAATGATGATACTAATGTTGCCAATATATTATTTTCATCGCCAATACTATTAGATACACCAACATCCAATATTGGCAGTGATCCAAAAAGTAGTGAATCAGAAGCAACAAATGGCAAGGACATTGACGATAACAGTAGTAATAGTAATAGTGATTCTCAGAGACCTGAAGATAGTGATTATGAAAATCAAGGTGAATCTGTTGCAATTTATAAAAACATCACAAGTGGAATATTAGAAAATGAAGAAGTTGGTAAATCATCAACACCTAATATATCACTTGATACATCATCATCCGCATCAACAAAATTAAGCACCACCCCGTAATAAATACATCCCCAACATCAATGGTATTAAATGATGGTAATAAATAATGCCAATAATAATAATATAATAATATCAATAGATGCGGGTTTTTGTGATAATAAATGTAAAATAATAGTCATTTAGTTAAAGATTTAAATTATTTTTTTGATTTTTAATATTAATATTTAATATTCGATTTTTCATTTTATTCTCAATATAAAAATTTTTAGCAATATTACAAAGATATTTAGAAAAAATATCAAGAAATAAAAATCTATTTAAAAAAAAAAATTATATATGAATTGTTTGAGCTTTTTAATCGTTGATTATCAACAAATCTAATAAATACTGCTAAGATAATATTATACAACCAATAATCTGCCGTTTTCAACCCATTTTCCTTTTTCAGAAGGCCCACCAGGAAAATACATTTTAACACTCGATTCCATTCCATTTCCATCAGTTCCGCTGACAAGAATATCAATGAACCCACACCCGACTTTTTTGACCCATCAATCACGAGATAAATTTCAAATAGGCAATACTTGGTTGGGAGTGGCAATTCTACCGCAGTCTGAGATGCAACCTCATTATAATATCTAAATTCTTTGAAGGGCTTGGGTTTAAATCAATGTTGTCAGTGATCTGAATACGCGAAATATTCATCAACAATAAGCTCGTCATCTGCAAAACTGAACGATCGTCCCCGTAATTTCTTACGATTACTGTGTAGAGGGAATATCGATGACGGACGGATCAATCGCATGCTAACCCAATTCGTGGCTTAGTTAGTCAGTAGTGCATATTAACATTCTCTTCCGTTCGTTCGTTCGTTCCAATACTTTTTTTTTTTAAAAAAAAATATTATTATTATTAGATAAATAATATCAACAAAAAATAAAGTATAAAATATAAAATATAAAATAAATGTGTCAACCGTCATCAGTCTCCACCAGTTCGCCGTCGAGATGACCGACACGAAACTTGATGGTCTACCTTTACGAGCAAAAAGTTCACCACCTTGATGGCAAGTGAGGTCTTCCTACTCGCACTTCTGTTGACCGATCACCTAGATGGCAAACCGGCAAACAGGACTACGATGAGGAAGTCGCCGTCCAGATGACCGGCATGGATATGTGAGCAAAGTAAAATTGTTAAACATAACGTGAACGATTTTTTATTTCACGCTCTGCATTAAAATCTCAACATCTCAATAAAAACTAATGATATTAAAAATGAAAAAATAATGACATTTAGTATCATCCCAATTCGGGAATTTTTAGCACTTGGCGGACAGTCGTACCCATGGGTCGAAGTACAAGCCGATTAATTTCTTTCACTAATTCTTCCTGTTTTGTGATTCAGGCTATATAAGAAGATATAACTATATGAAAAATAGTAGTATCCAATAAATTTCAATACATACGTGAAAAATAGCCATCATTCTCCTTCAGCCATTAAAATTGAAAGGCACAACAGCAATGACACTTACGAGAAAACGGCCATCGAAAAGCATACTTAATGCATATAAGGTTAATCGAGCATCTGAAAAGGTAGAAGCAGTGTATGAGAAAATGCAATCACTAATGCATGAACATAAATTATGCATTCTACTCACTGATCGATTGAACACTGTAAACCCTAATTTTTGTTGCTAGACTTATTCTACAATCAAGGTGGTTTCATAAAATTGCAATCAGATTTAAAATATAGATGTTCATGATTTTCTTCGCATTGCCCATAACATGTTTATCAGTTGCTTTACATGGAGGACCCGCTACCTCCATGTGAAATATATCCAAACTATCAGACATTCTCATTCCCTTAATGTCTACTTTTACAATTCCTGAATTAGTGGATGACCTCATAATTTTCACGGTATGAGCATATGATTCAATCCAATCAAATTCAATTAAAGAAAATGTTCTCTCATAGAACTTGTGTGGTGAGGAAATTTGGTATACTATGTGTTTACCAGTGTTGTGGAATTGGAACATTGTAATGTTATTGTAATGTTCCAATGTAGATCTTCAATTGGTATTGACCAATAAAATTCATGCGTGTGACACCGTAATTGAATTTCATTGGTTAACTTCATTGGAACCATATTTGGAATGCTCTAATCCCAATTGGGAATTTATTAGAATGCTCCAATGAAATTTTATTGGAACCATAAATGGCACAACACTGGTGTTTACATTTGCCAATGTTTCTGCTCATTGAAGGAATAATGTCTACGAGATGGAAACTAAAATGAAAATAGTTGTCAGTATCATCCATCTTTAATAAAGTAATATATATTAATGTTTACATACAAATCAATAAAAATTTTTTCACAATATAATCAATATTCTTTCACAACATCTGATGCTTTAATTTGGATTTATTTTTAAAAGTTTCATTATTTTCTTCAATGACAGTATCAATATAATTCTCCAAGGTTGCTGTCCACACATCTACTCCTTTTGTTAAATCTTCAATTGTTCTATCGGCTGCATATATGATGGAAATTTTTTGGACATATCTGTCACATGAAAAAGGAACAAACATATGCTAGGATGCCTTCTATTTGTAAAAAATGTTACATAGAAAACAAAAAGAAATGTGACTACTGTTTAAATTCCTCTTTTTCAAATGGTCTCTTGTCAGGTGTACTTAATAATGGTGTTCAAGCCTGAAAAATTTGTGGTGGAATTTGTGGGGCTACTAAAGTTCCTACAGGTAATAAAGACCTGACTGCAAATGAGTTTGAAAGGCATTCGTTTTTGTGTTGAGGTACACTGTATCCTGTAGGTGGGTGATAACATGTTGAGTATTAAATTAAAAAACATGTGAACACATGCATATCAACTTGCTCTAAATTTGTTATATATAACAAATTTGAGATGATCTACATTTTAATTTAAGGTGTAACATAAAAAATAAAACTAATATGTAGATAATTCAGTGGGGTGTCTTACATTATATGATTTTACAAACATAGTTGATCACATCACATATAAATTTTCATATATGACAATTTTTTGCCGATCTTTTTTTCAATAGTAAACTTTGAATGATTATAACTCTTTAAAGAATAGAGATACTGACTCCGAGTTAAGTTTAAAACATACTAGAGAAATAGGACAATAAAGTAATAGAGCCCTTTTTTTTATTTTAATATAAACAATGGCATTTATTTTAAGCTAGAAAATCAAAGTAAAAGTTGTGAATATATGTTACAAAATTTTATGCAAGTAAAATTGTAAAAAGCTCTCTATTAGTTTAAAGAGCATCAAAAAGTGAATCTAATGCATAAATTTTTATTTGAATATAACATATAGTTTAAGAGTTATTTTGAGTTTTGTAATTTTGCGAAGTTTGCAAATTTGTATAATAAATTTAAAAATTTTTTTTGTGGCACCAAAAAAATAATAATAAATCCGCAAAACCCCTAAAAAATCCTTATTAATGAAAATTTATATATGTGATCAACTATGTTTGTGAATCATATGATGTGAAACACCCCAATCCCTCATGATGATCTACTGTAAATGGATTTGGGTGCCGTTCATACTGTCATATTCTATTGGATGAAGAGTAAAATATTTGAATGATTTTCATTCCCTCACCAAAAAAAACATATTAATATAATCAATGTGGTGAACTTATACTTACAAAGTATTGATAATATAATGAAGAGTATCTAATGAGAAATGATCATCTTTATTTGATGTCTCCAAACATTTTGTTGGTAATTTGTTTAATGCAACACAAAATCCTTGAATGGTAGTGATCTAAAATAAACAATTCAAATGGTTAAAAAGGTTTATTTTTATAATTATCAAATAATAATAATGTTAGTAATGATATTGATATTGAAGCTTTATTTTTTAACAACTTACATCAGAAAAACGATTCAATTCATCTACAAAAACCTTATCAACAACAGGATCTGTCTTAATATTTGTATTTTCCATTTCCTCTAATTCAGGATTGGTGAATATTTTCTTTATTATGGAATCTTCAAGATCAATTATGAATGAATGTAGTAGTCTGTTTAAAAAGAATAGGCCTTTGAGGATAATCTTGGTAAGACATAGGCATGTAACTTACAGTTCGGGAGAATCATCATTTTTGATAGCATAAGAATATAAGACATTCTCCACATAACGTCCTGAAGATTCGAGTTTCCATTTAAATTTATTGTCCATTGATTTAAATATATTTTTATAGTCAACAACATTCTCTTTTTGATTATCATCTTTTGGTAGCTGTAAGAATTTTAAAAAAATAAAATTGTGTAAGTAAATGCATAAATAGAAAAGTTTTCTTGGAGGTTTTAAAAAATGAGTAATTCATTATATTTTATGTTCAATTACTTTTGAAGAACTTCTAAGAAATACAAAAAAAAAAAAAATATTAGCAAGTCTTTTTCTTAAGCAAATGTTTAATAAGAACTAGAGTGACAACAGGTGGCAGGTGATAACCACTACCACCATCCTTAAAACACTTACCCTCTTCTTTCCCTTGGTTCAGTTTCTCTGCTTCTTTTATTAGGTTGATAAGTCATATTTAATAAAAAGATTAAAAATTTTGTTATTTGATCAACATGTACACATTAACTAGAGTAACAATGAGTGGTGGGCGATAACCATCACCACCATCCTTAAAACACTTACCCAGAGATGTCTTCTTGTTGGGTTTGTTTGGTTCTTTTGTTGATTTCTTTATGTGGCATTTTGATAAATTTTTAAAATAGAAGAAGTTTATGAATGATTGACATGTACACGCTAATTATTTATCCTATTGGTTTTTTTTCTGGTAGGACAGATGCAAATTGTTTTTTTTTTTTTTTGGAAAAACAAGTGACAAAACGTGTGTGTTGTTGTTTGGTTTGGCTTGGGTCTCCTAAAGAATATGTGTTAATAATTAACCAGAGGTGCTATTTTTTACTTGTATTGATATGTATGTGGTGTATTTTATTTTAGCTTATAAATATTTTAATTGGAATTCAAAATGCGGAGCAGATCATTGTTGGGTAATTACAATATTTTCATTGATAATATTAATATTTTACTTTTCGTAATCAATATTAATAGTATTATTATAATCACAAGAAGATGTCAAGGCAGCATTGACTGTTGAAAAATAAACATTTCAAATATGCAATGTTTGATTATCGGAAATTTTACAAGTGTTGAAGCATGCACGCTACCTTGAACACACTTACAGTCATTCTCACACATTCCTTGTGTATATAAGGCTAATCTGACCTGGTGGATTGATGATACAATGATGCAACTGAACTTGATGGCCCTGGAGTTTACCAAGACTGTATCAATTGTCAATGACATTTTCACTAATCTTCCCTCACAGCATCCAGACCAGAGAAGGCCACTGGCATGCTGGCTGAAAAGTCAACTGCAATGATCCCACCTCTAGGGTAAGGATGGCACTGTGATCAAGTTGCAACTCTGCTGATGAATTGTAATGCCATGTAAATATCCAGATCCATCAAAGCAATGAGAACCTGCAACTTGCTCAAGCACAGGGGTCACAATTCAGAGCAGGGTTGGTGGCCCTGAAATTGCATTTGGGCTCTGATGTTAAGAGGAAAGTTGTAAAATAGTGTTTGTTTTGTATAATCATT